GGCCGCCGTGAGGCTTGCTCCATTGGAATGCGATAGGCGCTGTCCGAGGTTCTGGAATGCGCCGCGCTCCGAGGCAGATTGGGGACCCCGGGTTGGGAAGATCCGCGGCCTGGGGCCAGACTTGGATTAGCTAAACCTGAGAGGCTGTTGGAAAGGGATGGACTAGCTGGAACAGGACTGATGTGCCATTCGACGGGCAGGAGGGAGGCTCCTTTCCCCGAGAGGGGACCCGGGCGTCCTGGCGCAGAGCAGGGACCAGCGGCTTCTGGGGGCGCAGTCTGCTGCAGTCCCTCGCTCTGAGCTTCCAGTTGGAAGGTGGGGGAAGTGATGGCTCTGAGGTTTGGAGGCATATGATAGCTCCCGTCTGGGCTGCAGCGTCCCCTTAAGGGGTACTTAGTGCAACCAGGACACCCTCCCCCAAGGCTCCCTGAAGTCCTGATCTCAGCCTGAAGCTACCTCCTCTGTGGATTTTCAGGTCTACTTTGCCGAATTTCCTCTCCCTCTCGGTTCTCCGTGGGTTCCCATTTAGGACAGGAAGCAAGATCCCTTCTTCCCTCTTTCCCCCTTCTCTTGGTACCCTGGGGCAGCAGGATGGTTTTCAGGGCGGGGCAGGGGGAAGTCTCTACAGTTAGCTCTTTTAGCATCCTGGTGAGGCCTCAGAAACGGGGTCTCAGTGGCTGAGTCCCCAGCGCCGTGGCGACACTGCGGACTCGCTGCGGTGGGTGCAGAGACTTGTCAGGAGCTGAGGGGCTCTGGAGCAAATCCTTGTGCAGTTCCGGTTCTCTGTCATCCTTCACTGCCGTTTTTTTCTGCTCTGAGGTCTTGGGGCCAGGCACCCCCTCGGGCTTCCAAGCCCCTCGCCGCCCCCCAGCGGTCTCAGGCATCCATCACCGCTGTCAGTCGCCCCCAGCCCCCACCCTTTAGCAGCGTTGCGTCCCCTGCGCACTAGCGCATCTCCAGTGCCTGCTGTCTGCGCTCAGAGCCTTCAAACACTCCCTTAGACATTGCTTGACCCTCTGGGCAGAGACTCCCACAGACCTCCCCAGGAAATGGCCCTAGGCCCCAAGAGCTGAAAGCATGATCTCACAGACACTAGCAGGTTTGACTCTGAGGTCCTTGGTTTTAGATCACAGTCAGAGCCAAGTGGAGGCGTGGGAAGGCTGGGGGCATCAGCATCTCTGGTCCTTTGTCCGAGACACCCCATTCCCATTCTCCCACGGGGCTGAGTCCTATGCAGGGGACAGAACTGCTGCTGGCCAGCTCATCCATCTCTCCAGTGACCCTGGGGTCACCTCTTCAGGCACTTCTCCCTGGCTGCAGGGGGAGGGGGTTGTAAAAGTCTACTCTGCAGCAGCGCCAGGAATCTTGAAGCAGTGCTCCGGGAACGAAGGAAAGGGACGTCACTTCCTCCCGGGGTCCTTCTCAGGTGCCTCCACCATGAGACATCCTGCTCCCCAGAATGGGTTCTGTGTATTCTTCAGCACCTGCTTCCTACACCGACCTTCACTGGACCTCTGTGTTTCTATGGGGTCGCCAAAAGAAGGCACATGTGTGCTGGAAGCAGGATTCTAATAGTTCTTTCCAGTTCTCAGGACTCCCTGTACATTTCTAGACACCGAGTGTAGCAGGCCCTCCTGGAGACTTTCTTTCTATATACAGAGTCCAGCGCTTGGAATTAGAGTGGCCAGAACCTGGGTCAAGCATTCTGTATCCCAGAGTGGGAAGGTCTTCCATGGACTCTTGGTGAGAGTGATAGGAGGAGCTAAAGACTTCCCGGGTCTAAGCAAAGAAGGACCAAGAGCCCCTGACTCTGAGTCTTGATTCCTGGAACTAGATGGATCTGGTGTTGACCTCAGGGAGAGTATGAGGGCTCCTCTGAGCCAAAGAAGATCCCAAGGATATTGTCCCTGGCATCCAGATCTTTTTCCCTTTGGGGTCAGACGACCCTTTCCCTCCCCAAGCTGCCCTGGGGATTCCCTTCAGGCCCAGCCTCTGGCCTCGGGGGAGGCTCCTTAGCCTGCGCCTGTTTCCTCCGGCGAGCTCTGGCCTCCGCAGCTTAATTGAAAGCCGATTCAGGCTGAGAGCTCCCAGGGGGCGGGGACGGGGGCGGGGGCGGGGAGGGCTCAGCCTTGGTCTGGGCTGCCTCTTGCGCGCCTCTAGAGCTCTCCCAGCACCCAGACTCCTGGCTCTGGGGAGTCAGGACGAGTTTCCCCTTTGCTGTCCTGCTCCTTTGAGAACGCAGACGCTCACTCCCCATCCCCCTTAGCCAGTGAGCCCAGCGTTCATGGCAGGGGACAAAATCAGCCCTTGGCTGATGAGGCCCGGAGCCTGGCGTCTGGCCCAGGCAGCGGATGGAAAGGCGGGACCCAGGACGAGCCTACCTTGCCGCCCCCCTCCCCTGCGCTCCTTTCCTGGCCGGAATCGGGCCTGTAGTCTGGCTCTGCGCTGCGCGCTGCGTTACATAAGCGGCTGCGGGCGCGTGGCCGGCTCAGCGCGCTGCGCGGTCGGTCCGCGCTGTCGCCATGGAGACTGGCGCCCGGCCTCCTAGTTACGGGGTCCCTGGCCAGGGTGTCCCCCTTCCAGTTGGTTAAGCGTCATCCGCTGGGGCAAAGAAGGAAGGCTTGAGAGGGGACGTGAAAAACAGAGGGGAGGGGCTCTTTTGATGGTGGTCTGGGACCTAATGGAGGGTGCGTCCAAGAAAGGCACCCAGCTGTTCAGAGAAGCCCTTAAATCTTGCAGCTAAGGGAAGGATGTGGGGATAAGAAGCCCAGGCTAGATGGGTACCAGGTGTGCTAAGAACGGTAGTTGCAATAGCAGCAGTAGGTACACTTGGGTCGCCAACATGGTATGTGTTATTTCAGTTGACTTCCTAGTCATTCTAGGAGTTAGGCCAGCTTACTATTCCTTTGCAACAGGAGACAGAGCCAGGGAGGCTGGTACTGAAGCTTAGCTTTCCCAGCTCAGTCCTTTCCTGAACCTTTCCCAGCTCAGTCCTTTCCTGAACCGCTAGGGATTTTTCTCTTACACCCCACTAGCTTCTCTAGTCCCAACTATCCTATGGCAAGAGCAGAAGGCATCGGGCCAACATTTTAGAAGGAGATGGGACCCACCTCACTCTCATTTCTCCTGGTTTCTGATCCCAGACAGATCTTTTCAGATTCTGGGGTCTGAGACGGAAGCCTTGCTGAATTTTCCTCCAAATACTGTTTCCTGAACATCTATTACGTGCTGGCTATCTCAGGGAGAATGGGCCTGTTATTCCCAGGAACTCACCTCGGTGAGAGGAGAAAATGGCTGGTGGCCTGGTTAGGCAATCAGGCATTTCTGCCTCAATGTGGCAAGGTGGAGGTGGGTGTTTTTTGGAGCAGGTGCTGTCCCCTGCCCCCAAATTTCAGACAGGTTGGGATACATCATGCTCTTGAGAGAGGTCCCTGGCCAGGTGACTGAAGAAGGGTTCCAGGAGGCAGGGAGGAGGATGCTAGACAGACAAGGACACCAAGAGATGAGGGCTAGGGGACTCAGGGTCCACAGGGCCTCAGCTTTACTTAGAACTTGGACAATGGTGATTCTTCCCCAGAGTCCAGGAAGATGACTACTGCTGGGGCTTCAGCCCTGGCGCTGAAGGAGGCTGATGGCTGGAAATACCCAATCATGTCCCTGGAAAGCTCATATCTTGGAGGGACCCTTCCTGCACCAACAGAGTTTCTCCTTGGCTTGGCACATTTCCTATATACGTTTGTGTGTTTATCCTTAGGTCTTCTGGTGTGCAACTTCTTTCCTGGACATTGCTCCCTCCTTGTGCCCAGGAAGCTTCTGGACCTTCCAATAGATCACCCTCTCTTCCACACTTCAGTCCATTAAGCTATAGCACCATCCCACCCATTGGCCCATGCTAGGAACCCCAGGCTTTATCCTAGATTCTTCCCCCCCCCCCAGACATCTGGCACAGCCCGAGTCTTTCCATTGCCCCAGATTACTGTGACCGAGGTGTTGTCAGCCTGTGCCCGGACTGTGGAAATGTTCTAGTCGTTGTACTTCTCACCTGAAGCCAGAAGGCTTGCTGCAATACTCCAGTCAGGTCATGACACTCTTGGGCCCGAAACCTCAGTGACTGCCATTGTCCTCTGGATGGGATCCAAATTCTTCAAGATGGCCTGGCACTTCCTTAAGGCTCACACTACCTTGAGTCATCTTCTCCCAAGCCACCTTTCATCCTTAGCCCCAATATGCCCCTTCCTAAGACTCTCGCAAGATCACGCTTTGTTCAGCAGTAACCTGTTCTGTTGGCTTCCACATCTGGGACATCAAACACACTGTTCTGGGTTCTCTGTGCCTGGAACACCCTCCTGCCACCCCCCAGTCTAGCCCTTACTCATCCTTCAGTTCTCAGCTGATGCGTCACTTCCTCTGGGAAGCCTTCTGTGACCTCTCAGGCTGGGCTGTTTGCCCTCCTGCGTCCCTGATGTTTTGTTTCCTGCACAGACTCTAGCATCCTGTCTACTGCTTCTCCCTGGCTTTGGCTTGGGTCTCTAAGGACAGGGACAGTGTCTTGGGCTGCTTGATTCCTCCTCTGGCCATTCTGTTGACACACGGGAGAATGACAGTGAAGGGGGGTATACGATGCCAAAAGGGTATCCTTGGGAGTTCAGGTGGCAGGGTTCTCTGCAGCCCTCTCTAGAAAAAAATCATGCATGCACCCACATACTAAGATGGGCTCATTTATATCCAAGATGGAAACTCTGAAGACTCGTGGTAGATGAACCAGGACCCTTCCTCAAGAGCAAAGAAGGACACACATGTTCATCAGGCACTCAGAACAGCCAGCAGTAAACTGGGTTCTTTATCCACGCTGCCAACTAAAATCACGCAAGAAGGCAGTGCAAGCCCAGTTTCTCCAGCCTGTGACCCAAGGCTCCAAGTGTTAAAGTGGCCCCATAGCTCTATGCAGGATGGATAGGGAGCAAGTGGCAGGTGTCACCCCTGACTCCTCTTCTTCTCAGGTGATGGCAACCCCAAGGAAAGCAGTCCCTTCATCAACAGCACTGACACAGAGAAGGGAAAAGAGTACGATGGCAAGAACATGGCCCTGTTTGAGGTGGGCTGCTTGGGCGACAGTTAGTCACGCTGGCTCATCAGAGCTCCCTCCCTCCCTCGGGAAGAGTAGACGCCTCTCCATTCCTCCCTCAGGTCCACCATCTTCCCCGGCCTCCCTAGCCCTCCTTGGTCTTTCCTGCCTTTACCTCGTGGTTCCCTGCCCTCCTCTCCTACCTCGCCACTTCCTTCTCCCATTCCCCCCCCCCCCCGCTTCCCCCTCCTCTGTTTCCATTGCATCCCAAACTCAGTGGCCTGACCTTCGTCCCCATCTCACTCCAGTTGCTGCCCTGACCTTCCTGCTCCCTAATGCCGACCCCTTTCCTCCATAGGAGGAGATGGACACCAGCCCTATGGTGTCCTCCCTGCTCAGTGGGCTGGCCAACTACACCAACCTGCCCCAGGGAAGTAGAGAGCATGAAGAAGCGGAGAACAATGAGGGCGGAAAAAAGAAGCCGGTGCAGGTGGGGCCTTGGGGGAGAAGGGATGGGAGAGGAAATGGATCTGGATGGAGGAGTGAATGACACAGAAGAAGGAGGGCGATGGCTATGGGGGGTAGGGGAAGGAATGGGAGAGGAAGGATGAAGGTGGAGGAGAGGAGGAAGGAGGCATTTTGAAGGACGCACGAGGGAGGCAACGGGAAAAACCTGGAGGCAGGTAGAAAGGAGAAAAGGACTCAAGAGCCAGAGGGAAGAGGGATGAAAGGGGGGAGAGGCAAGCAAGGAGAGGCAGGGAAGGAACATGGAGGAGGTGTGGGCTAGGCTGTTGGGCTGTAAAGACTGATGCTGGCCTCTCTGGCAGGCCCCACGCATGGGCACCTTCATGGGCGTGTACCTCCCGTGCCTGCAGAACATCTTTGGCGTCATCCTCTTCCTGCGGCTCACTTGGGTGGTGGGCATCGCTGGCATCATGGAGTCCTTCTGTATGGTCTTCATGTGCTGCTCCTGTGTGAGTGACCCCTCTCCTCTGCTCAGTGAAGACAGCTGGGGTTTGGTCGAGGCCTAGGGGGGTGCAGGGGGGAGGAAGCATGAGACCTGAGCTTTTTATAGGAGTCACTACTTGTGATCTTTGAGAGTAAATTAGGTCTGACTGGTCCTTCCTGAGCCTCATAGGCTTCTCTCTGATGACTGTCAGCCAGGCTTCACCTGTGTGCCTATGTTTGTGTACTTGCACAAGTACTGCAGATTCATTGATGATAAATGCAGAGAAGAAGACAAAATTCAACGTAATTGCATAAGAGTAACATTTTGGAAGGTCCCTACTCACACACACAAAAAAATGAGATTATGTCTCACAGATAACTTTGCAATTAGATTCTTCCTGTCCACCTTGAAAAAAAAATCTAATATCTATTGAACACCAAGTTCATATTCTTGTGTCTTCACACAAAGCCTTGGGACCACTTCAAATATATCAGTGCTGAAGCTACGCCTCCCATTTTATAGATACAAATACTGAGGCCTGAGAAGTGAATTGTCTTATGAATTGTCCTAAGTTACCTAGGGGCCAAACTAGAGTGATCAGAATTCTCTTGTATGTATGGTAGCGCCTCCCATTTTCATGGTGAATAAGAGGTTATTTTTTGAGAAGGGCTTGGCATGTGCAGAGGTTGGAACAGACCCAGACAGAAGCTCAGGAGAGGAGAGCCTGTGGGTTTGGCTGTGGCTGTGGGGTATATTGGCTTGGCTGCCAGCCAGGCCACTGCTGCCCCCAGCAGCCACCATTCTGATGATCTCTTTCCTGCAGACGATGCTCACAGCCATTTCCATGAGTGCAATCGCAACCAATGGTGTTGTGCCTGGTATGTGACTGGGGCCTTTGCAGAGTGGGGGAGGGCTGGGGCCTGATGATTGACAGGGGGAACAGAGGGCCAGGCTTTGTGGGCCATCAGGACCCAAGACCCAAGACTGTATTGCAGACCAAGAATAAGGCTATTATTGCTCATGAGGTAGGTAAGGGCGAGCCTGTTGGGGTTAGGGAAGGAGGCAGATGCTGGTGTTGAATAGGGCAATGGTCACCTTCTCTCCTACTCAGCCTGAGAACCTCTTGTCTGCCATCCTATTTTCTGAGCCATGACCTCCTTACAGGGGTAATTAGCGACCTGGGAATAATTACTGCTGCAAACTCCATGCAGAGTGCTTGGCTGTAGTCTCCTTTCTGGGGCGGCAGCCCGAGGTCTAGAGAAACCATCTTCTGCCCTCTGTCCCTAAGTCCTGCTCACTGCAGAGCTGCCCGGGGGCCCTCTGACCTTCTTGCTGATACTAGTTTTTTTTTTGTCTGCAGCTGGTGGCTCCTACTACATGATTTCCAGGTCTCTGGGCCCAGAGTTTGGGGGCGCCGTGGGCCTCTGCTTTTACCTGGGCACTACCTTTGCTGGGGCTATGTACATCCTGGGCACCATCGAGATCCTGCTGGTGAGAGGGAAAGGGGAGGAGGCGTGGGGTCCCAGGCTGTCAGCCACTTAAACAGTGTTCCCCGAACACCTGCTATAGGTCAGGCCACACTGCCTAAAGCTAAGGCCAAAGGGAAGTCGGATGTGGTCTGTCTCGAAAGAGTTCCCAGTCTGGCTGGGGAGATGAGATACAATAATTATGTAACACAAACAGCTGTGGTTTATCAGGCACCCACTGAGCTCTCGGAGCTCCAAGTGCTTTACAGTCATTATCGCGAATCCTTAGAGGTTTAAGTATTATGATGGCATTTTACGAATGAGAAGCCCCAAAAGGCAAATAGATCACTAGCTCAAGGTCACTCCGCTGTGGGGGAAGTGGCAGAGGCGGGTTGGTAAGAGTTAAAATACCAGCTGGAATAGTGAGAGCCCACCACATTCCAGGGAGTGTGCCAAGTGTTCTTTGGGCCAGGCGTGGCCGCACGTGCCTTTAATCCCAGCACTCAGGAGGCAGAGGCAGGTGGATCTCTGTGAGTTCAAGGCCAGACTGACCTAGAAGAACTAGTTCCAAAGCTACAGAGAAACCCTGTCTTGAACCCCACAACCTCCCCCCGCCCCCTCCCCGCCCCGCCCAAAGTGCTCTTTGGATGTTGGTTGCAGAGCTCCGACAGATGTTCTTGGGTTGTAAAAGAGAACAATGAGGGACCGTGTAGAGAGATCTCTTAGGGAGGTGTCTGGACTGAAGGACTGGCAGGGCAGCTGCCTAGGCCTCCTGTTCTTTCTGTTTGAATGAGTGCAGAGTAGGGAACCTTGGTTTAAGGAAAGGGGTGCAGTTTATTTGCCTAGAGTGCTCCAAGTCCTGGCTTTACTTCTCAGAACAATATACACGCTACACCTGGGAGGCAGAGGAAGGAGGCTAAGAAGTATGAGATCGCCCTCAGCGGCATAGTGAGTTTGAAGTCTGTCAGGGATGCAAGAGATCCTGTCACAAATGAAAAGAAAAGTGGAGCTAACATTTCCCAACCCCCCTATCCTCTGCAAGCCCTAAGATTTTAAGAGTAGTAGCCCCTCCATGAATCTCTCATGTGTCAGAAGAGAGGGCAAGTCCAGAGAGTCTCAGAAACATGTTGAGGGATGTGAGCCTACATCCCTCTGACTTCCAGGGTCTGTGCTTGCCCGCTGTCCCTATGGTTTTAGGAACCAAAACAGACAGAGACAGAGCTTCTGGTTTGGGGGCAGGAGAGAAGAAATCGGGGACTGGGGGCTGGAGGGGGCACATTGGGGCAAGCACTGTGGACTCTGTGACTTACGGCATCTCTAGATGCATTGTCAAACAGTTCTGCCCACCGCCCGACACTGGAACAATGTCAGAGTGAGGGAGAGAGGGAGCTAGTGAAAACCAGAAGCATATTTGTGTGTAGCTCTTGCATTTCTGTTCTTTTATATTATATTTTGTTCTGTCTTTGTAAAACACAACTCCACCTATAAATATTTCCTCAAGAACCCAAAAACTCCCTTTATTTATAAATAAAAAGTAACTTAAACAAACATAAGAATTGTAAGTTTAATGTAGGCATTTTAGAAAGTATGAATTATGCAAGACATCACATTTTAATTATTCAATAAAAGCTTCCATTGTTTTTAGTTGTTGTGTTGTTCTTTTCTTTTCTTTTGTTCTTTGAGACAAGGTTTCTCTGTGTAGCTCTGGCTGTTCTGGAACTTGATCTGTAGACCAGGTTGGCCTTGAACTCAGTGGTCCACCTGCCTCTTCATTCCAAGTGCTGGGATTAAAGGCGTGCGCCACCACACCCAGCTAGTTGTTCTCATTAGGCAGGGCCTCCTTATGGTCCAGGCTGATTTGATACTTTTGATCCTCCTTCCTCAGCCTCCTGGGTTCTTGGATTACAGACACTGATATTCGGATATCCCTACAAACACATCTACAATTATACACACACACACACATGGGTAAATATTTTCACATATAAATGTATAGAAATGAGATCATAAGATACAATTGTCTTATAGAACTTTGACCTTATTCACCCAATGCCACCACACATAGTTTTTAAACTCTTGAAACGAGGTCTTGCTATGTAGCTTAGGCTGGTTTCAAATTCTCCTGCCTGAGCTTCCCATAGTTTGGGATTATAAAGTCTGTACCACCATGTTCACCATGGATAGTTTTAGCGTCAGTCCCTATAAATTTATGCCTTTTTTGTCTTTGCTGCTGGGGATGAACCCAGGGCTTATATTCATATCAAATGTACTTTTTGTCACTGAGTCATGCCACAATCTCATGCCATCTTTTTAAATAGCTTTGTAGTTTAAGTAGAAATAAAATACCCTCTAGGGATAGACATCTATTTTCCACCTTTATATCATAATTAATAAAAGTAATAACTATAATTAATAGCTATAATAAATAATAGCAGTGAAGAACCTTTCCCAACATCTTTGAGTGCTATTTGTATTGGCTGCTTCATAAACATTGCAGAAGAGCCCACACCATCTTTAGCCAGGGCTTTGTTGATGGAGATCATTTCCCTGGGGTGAGTCTCAGCTGGCCTTTCCTGGGTCATCTGTCTGACTTGCTTTGCTCCTCTCCTGCAGGCTTATCTCTTCCCAGCCATGGCCATCTTCAAGGCAGAAGATGCCAGTGGGGAGGCAGCGGCCATGTTGAACAATATGCGGGTATATGGCACCTGTGTGCTTACCTGCATGGCCACTGTGGTCTTTGTGGGTGTCAAGTACGTCAACAAGTTTGCCCTGGTCTTCCTGGGTTGTGTCATCCTCTCCATCCTGGCCATCTATGCAGGGGTCATCAAGTCTGCCTTTGACCCACCCAATTTCCCGTGAGTGCTGTCTTTCTGAGTCTACAATATTGTGGCCCTCACTGACCCAGCTCAGGTCAGCATAGTAAGAATTTCTGCCAGGTCCCTCTCTCTTCACCTCTCAGAACTAGAGTGTGTGGGTTGTGAGCAACATCCCTGCAGGGTAAATGTTTCCTATTTAGGGCAAGTTCATTCAGGATGGGATAACATTTTTGGAGGAGGGAAGAGGTTCTCTTGAGTGTGTCAACTGCTTGTTGCTGGAAAAGGAACACATTCTGTGTGGTGGGGAAGCTTCTGAATGGGTCAGCCTCCTGTAATGGAAATCTTAGTTTTTGACACCTTCCCTAGGGTGGAAAAGAACCCAGAAGAGAGAACCCAGGGTTCAGGTCCCCTTTGGTTCTCTTGCTTCTCTAGTACAGAGTTCCCTCTATCTCAGTGGCAGAGGACAGAGCTCCACAGCTGCTATCCATGGTGCTGAGAACAATAGCGCCAACAGGCTTGTTCACTATCTTGTCTGCATGCTAGACTCGCTTGGGAAACTATAGAAACGCCAATGGCGTGCGCCAGACAGAACCAGAATCTCTGGATGTGGGGCCCAAAAATTTGTGTCTTTAAAACTCCCAGTGATTCAACTGTGAAACCAGGGAGCGGTCTTGTTCTTCCCACCTCCCTTGCTTGCTTCTCTCCCTAGGATCTGCCTCCTGGGGAACCGCACGCTGTCGCGCCATGGCTTTGATGTCTGTGCCAAACTGGCTTGGGAAGGAAATGAGACAGTGACCACACAGCTCTGGGGCCTTTTCTGTTCCTCCCGCTTCCTCAACGCTACCTGTGATGAGTACTTCACCCGAAACAATGTCACCGAGATCCAAGGCATTCCTGGTGCTGCCAGTGGCCTCATCAAAGGTTGGGGGAAGGGAAAGGGCTGGCGTCCATGGAGTGCCTCGGGGATTATGGGTTAAGTTGTCAGGATTAGGGGCATTCCTTGGGTTTCAGTCAATTCAGTCAGCTTTAATTGGGCATCTTGTGTAGGCCATGTTCTGTCCTAAGCAGTATGGAGAGGGAGAGGTGAAAGAGTGGAATGTACTTCATTGTTACTGAAAAGAAAGCCAGTCTAATAAGTGTTCTCTGCCTACTAAGTACTTAACAACCGTGCCAAAGCACTGGGACCACAGCATACACGAGTCTCAGTACTTGGCCTTAGGGATTTTAGTGACAGAAAGAGTTGTTAATAGATTCTGATCCATAGAGATGTGTATTCAGTGAACAGAGAAGCACGAGGAGACACAGCATCCATATATATCAGATGTCAAGAACAAGGCTTCCTGCACTTGCCAAGGGAGGCTTTGGAGGACAAGCAAGAGACTGTCAGTTGTATAGGGGAACACGGGAATTACAGAGCAAAGGATAGCCTGTTTAATGTGTGTGGCTGCGGGAATCATAGCCTGTCCTTTGGACCGTGAATCATTCGATGTGACTCGGGGGCTATGTACAAAGAAAAGACAACACGGAATGATGCTAGAGAAGACGGCACAGGCCAGACTGTTGCAGGCCCTAGAAGCCTTGCTGCGGAGTTTGGGTTACATCCCGAAGGCAGCAGGGGTGCAGAAGGAGGCAGATGCTGTGAGCCCAGGAGAATGAGGACTCTTTTGAGAAACAGGGATGGTTTCAGTGGCAGTGAAGTAGGGGTTCTTAACTAGAGCTGTTCTGCCCTGGAGGTGGCCAGCCCATCCACATGCACATGCACGCATATACACGTACACACTTTATTTTGTGTGTTTGTGTGTATATGTACACACATGCCATGTACAAATAGAGGTCATAGGGACATCTTGCTGGGGTCTGTTCTCTCCTTCCACCATGTGGGTCTCCGGGTTTGAACCCAGATTATCAGATTTGGCAGCAGGTGCCTTCACTGACTGAGCCATCTTGCTGGTCCCTGGAAATATTTTTTTTTGGTTATCAAAACTAGAGGGATTGGGGCTAGATAGATGGCTCAGAGGTTAAGAGAACCAGAGGACCCAGGTTTGATTCCTGCACTCAGATGGTGGCTCACAACCATCTGTAACTCCAGTTTCAGGGGATCTGATGCCTTCTGGTCTCTGCAGGCACAAGGCACATATGAGGTTCACAGACACGCATGCAGACACAATACCCATGCACATAAGACATGAGGAAAACTTGAGGGCTGCTACTCACATTTAACGTGTAGATGACAGGCTTCTGCCTTACACCCTGCGGTGCTGTTTGAGAGCCCCTGTAGCAGAGTCATCTACCCCAGCTGCCGCTGGTGCAAGGTGGAGGAGCCCTGGAGGGGGAAGAAAAGCTTGTTTGAGAAATGTTAATGAGTGGTGACGGGTAGAAGTTGAGATGCTTTGAAGCAGGGGAAGGGAACAGGAGCAGCTGACAGCAACGCCAGGGTGTTTGAGCTGATTGATGCTAGAGCCATTACCAAGATGAGAGGTGCAGGGACAAGCCGGGGCTTGAGGGCTGATGAGGTCAACTGGGGACATATGGAGTCAGTCTTGGAGAAGATTTTCTGTGTCTGCCCCACTAGATTGGGCTATTTAAGGGCAGAGACTCAGTCCCATTCAGCTTTGAAATCTGTGTCCCCACCCTGGCAAAACGTAGGAGCTTGGAAAATGGTGTGCGTGAATGGCCAGTTGTGGGAACGAGATCTGGTTAAACTTACCTTTCTGCTCCCTACCCTCCTGGTCTAAGCTCTGGCCCCCAACTTCCGGTCATCTCCCTGAGTGTCTCATCTTCCGACAGAGAACCTGTGGAGTTCCTACCTGACCAAGGGGGTGATTGTGGAGAGGCATGGGATGCCGTCAGTGGGCCTGACAGATGGCACCCCTATCGACATGGACCACCCCTATGTCTTCAGTGACATGACCTCTTATTTCACTCTGCTTGTTGGCATCTACTTCCCCTCAGTCACAGGTGAGGGGCAGCTTGGGGAGGGAGGCCTGTGCCTGGGAGTGGGTGGGCAGGAGGTTCAGAGACAAGACGAGTGGCTCTCCCTGCCACCTAAGCAGTAGGTACTTGTTCAGGCCCTATGGGAGAGATGAAGGAATCAGGCTCCAGAAAGATAGCACAGGGGCCAGGGTACCAGTGAGGTACCAGGCTCCCAACTCCAATATGTGTCCTTTCCTCAATGGCCCTGGCCTCTATCTGAACTGCTCTTCTCCCTACAGGGATCATGGCTGGGTCCAACCGGTCTGGAGACCTGCGGGATGCCCAGAAGTCCATCCCTACCGGAACCATCCTGGCCATTGCCACCACCTCTGCTGTCTGTATCCTACACAGCTGGGTGGTGCCCACCCTGGGTGTGGGGGGAATATTGCGGGAAGTATGGAGGTTGCTACCTTCTCTGGTGGCTCAGGATGGGCGATGGTGGGGCATCACCTTGCTAGGGATTCTCCTTCATTCTCTACCTTAGACATCAGCTCTGTTGTTCTGTTCGGGGCCTGCATTGAGGGGGTCGTCCTGCGGGACAAGTAAGTCAAGGAATGGGGTGGGTCTTGTCCTGGGACCACCAGGCTCAGGAAGAAACAGACCTGGCAGGGTGGCCTGAGCACAATACTTGCAGATTTACTCATTTTCTTCTTACTGAGTATTTTATCTTTCTTGTCACTGAAACTTAAGAAGCTCCACAGATGTCTCCTTTGGTTTGGGATAACGATCTATTTATTTAAGATCCATTCATTCATTCATTCATTCATTCATTCACCTAACACCCCTGTGTATTGTTCACTGCCTTCAAGGTTCTGAGGGAAGCAAAGAGTAACACAGAGTTTTGTACAGGGCTACAGAGAGCACAGGAGGTTCAGTGTGACCCAGTCAAGCAAACACATTAATAAATACATTACTGCTAGTTTTAAGGTAGTTTGACTCCTTTTTTTTTTTTTTTTTTTTTTTTTTTTTTTTTTTTTTGTNTTTTTTTTTTTTTTTTTTTTTTTTTTTGAAGATAGGGTTTCTTCTCCGTATACTTCTGGCTATTCTAGAACTTGCTTTGTGATCAGGCTGACCTTGAACTCAGAGAGATCACTTGCCTAGACCTCCGAGTGTAGGGATTAAAGGCAGTACCACTACACCTGGCCCATTTATCTCCTTTAGTCTTAGACCTCCCAGATCACCAGGGTCCCTTCACCTCGGCTCTTCATCCAGCATTTGAAGGACTTCAGCAGACACCCGATGAAAAGCTGGAAGGGGCTTTTGTACATTGTAAGCTGTCCTGCACCAACCACAGGCCGAAAGCATTAGACTAAAGCTCAGCTTGTGTAGACTATTATTGTCATTAATAATAATGTGCAATGGGGTTTTGCTGCATGAGGGTGTCAGGTACCCTGGAACTGGAGTTACAGTCAGTTGTGAGCCACTCTGTGGGTGCTAGGGATTGAACCTGGGTCCTCTGGAAGATCAGCCAGTGTAGACTTGCCCTGGTCACTGTTCCCTAAACAACACAGTGTGACACCCAGGTCCACAACACTTCCAGTGTGTTAGGAGTTGTGAGTCATCAGACACGATTCTGAGTCTTCAGGGAAGTGCGTGCCTGCTGGTGGATACTGTGTCACCTGTAGATCTGACCACCACAGAATCTGGCATCTTGGGAACAGAGACGTACCCCACACAGATTCTGAGTGATGCTTGCCTCAGTATTCCTTCCCAGTTTCTTTAAATTTTTTATTTATTACCAGCCATGATGGCACATACCTTTAGTCCTAGCACTCCAGAGGCAGAGGCAGGCAGATCTTTGTGAGTTCAAGGCCAGTCTGATCTACTAGTGAGTTCCAGGCCAACCAGGGTTGTGTAAAGAGACCTTGTCTCAAAAAACAAAGAAATTATTTTTTATTAGCAGTGCATGTGTGTGTATGTGTGCGTGTGTGTGTATGGTGTGTGTGTGGGAGGGAGAGGGTGTACATGTGTTTGTAGGTGTGTGTGGGTCAGATGACAACCTTCAAGAGTAGGTGTTCTCTCTCCACCATAGATTCTTGGGACCAAACTCAGGTCTGAATATTTTGCATCTGTGACTGTTAGTTTTAGAGAGGTTTGATCTGCATGCATCTCATTTAACCACAGACCTTCCATGAGACCGCCTTGCAAGGGTCTGTGTTTGAAGGACAGGCACCGTTAGTCCCAAGTCATCTCACTGGCCCCTTTTTAAAGTTTATTTTCCTTTCCATGTTGAATAGAGATTACACAACTAGGAAGGGAGGGCATTCCAGGCAGTAGGGACATTTTCCAGGGTGAAGAGGAGAAACGACTGTGTTATGTATGTCCGTGTGCATACTTAAAGCTGTATTGGGTTTAGCGTCCTGATCCCTCGCTTCTGGAGAGCATGTGAACACACGAGGAGCAGGGGAGGGAAGGGACTCACATTAATACTTTGGTTTCTTTGTGGCAATGCAATGGGGTTGTGAGGCTGGGCAGGAGTCATGATGGGGGCCTGGGCTGGAGTCAGGATGGGGGCCTGGGCTGCATTCAGGGTGGGGGTCTGGGCCAGAGTCAGGATGGGGGCCTGGGCCAGAATCAGGATGGGGGCCTGAGCTGCAGTCAGTGTGGGGGCCTGGGCTGGAGTCAGGGTAGGGGCCTGGGCTGCATTCAGGGTGGGGGCCTGGGCCAGAGTCAGGATGGGGACCTGGGCTGCAGTCAGGGTGGGGGCCTGGCTTTTCCACAAGGAAATTAAAGCTTGATTTTGTTTTAAGAAATGGAGTCCACTGCAAGGTCTTTGGGTGGGGGTGTGGCCCACTCAGTGAAAATTTGCTTCTGTGATGTTATTTTAGAGTCGTTTGACCTCCGTGCATCTCATTTCATCATAGACCTCTCACGAGACTGCCGCCAGTCCAGCATCCCTCATTCACCGCTCTGCCTGGTGTTTGAAGGAGCTCAGCAATGTCCCCTGAGCACATCTCCAGGGACAGGATTCCAGCTGCTAAGCAGCAGCTCCACTTCCCCTCCTCTCCACCTTCCCTCTCTTCCCCCCCTCACCTTTTTAAGAATACTTGTTTTTATTTTATGTGCATGAGTGTTTACCTGCATGTGTGTCTGTGCACTGCATACATGCCTGGTGTCTGTGGAGGCCAGAGTGAGTGCTAGATCTTCTGGGACTGGAATCCAGGCAGCTTGTGAACTGTCATATGAGTGCTGGGAACTGAACCAGGTCCTCTAGAGAAGTAACCAGTGCTCTTACAGCTAATCCATCTGACACACGCCTTTAATGCCAGCACTTGGAGGCAGAGGCAGGCTTATCTTTGTGAGTTCGAGGCCAGCCTGGTCTACAAAGTGAGTTCCAGGACAGTTAGGGCTGTCACATAGAGAAACCCTGTCTCAAAAAACAAACTAACAAACCAAAATACCAAAACCCCCCAAAACAAACAAAACAAAAAGCAAACAACATCTGATCCATCTACTCTGCCTCACCCCCCTTTTTGGAGGTGAGGTCTTGCCGCACTGCTCAGGCTGCTCTGGGATTCTTGGACTGCAGGAGTTCTGCCCAGCTTCCTGTGGCTCGGGCTGCGGGCACATGTGAGAGACCACACTGTTTTAAAGCCGTGGCGCTGACACAAAATACTTTCTTCTGATTTTGTTTTGTTTTTTTTGAGGCAGGGCTTTTGTTTGTAGCTCTGGCTGTCCTGGAATTCACTCTGTAGACCAGGCTGGCTTTGAACTCAGATCTGCCTGCCTCTGTCTCCCGAGTGTTAGGATTAAGGGTGTATGCCACCCTGCCTGGCCTGATTCTTTTCTATTGTTTTAAAACTTAATTTACTGTATGCATGTATCTGTGTGTGTTTGCACATGTGCGTATCTGTGCCATTAGTGTCCATATGGATGTCAGAAGAGAACTGTGAGGGTCAGTTCTGTCCCTTTACCCTGTGGGTCACGGGATGTGACAAGCGCCCTTCCCTACTAAGCCATCTTGCAGACCCTTTCCCGTTTATTCTTATAGCACCAGCGCACACTGAAGCCGGAGCCCCCATTTTCACACGGAGATGCTGCAGCCCCATTGAACCAATTAATTTTTTTAGGATCACGTTAACAATGGACTGTTTATTAAACTCATATTTATACCCCGTCCTGGGGAATTTTCCTATTGCGTCTCCTATTCCCTCACCATTTGCGTGAGGTAGGCTCATGAAGATCCGCAGCTCACAGCAGAGGGTCAGTGATGTGCTTAAGGTCACACAGAAGCCAGGCCCTGCAGTCAGCATCTTTCTGGGCACACCGTCGGTGGTAGCATTGCTCACCCAATGTCCTTGTCCCCTCACTGTCTCTCTCCAGGTTCGGGGAAGCTGTGAATGGCAACCTGGTGGTGGGCACTCTGGCCTGGCCATCTCCTTGGGTCATTGTCATCGGCTCTTTCTTCTCCACCTGTGGGGCTGGACTACAGAGCCTCACAGGGGCCCCACGCCTGCTTCAGGCCATCTCTCGGGATGGCATAGTGCCCTTCCTGCAGGTCAGTGTGGCAGAGCCACCCCACACAGCAGATCAGTCATCTGGGTCCCTGCCCAGAAGACACTGCACCAGGGTCACCGCCAGCCTTGAGCTCCCTCCTAGGTACTGTGCCCCACAGCTGCACTAAAAAACAAGGGACCTTATTTGGGATTTGGCCTGTGATCTGTGCCATCTCTGAACACTATCTGCTCGTAGAGGAAGAATAGAGGGCGCTTCTCCAGCCTCGGAGCATTGGGGACTCAGAGAGCCAGCAACAGGGCTAGGAAAAGCTGTCTTTTTCTGTGAATATTAAGGGAAAAAAATCTATTGAGCATACAGACACATGTTGCCTGTCCCTTAGGAGCCTCTGTCCCTCTGGGGGTCATTTCAGTGTCATTCCACGATGACGGCAGTGAGGGGGGATGAGACAGAGAGAGCCTGCCGTTCCCTTGGGTTCCCTAGAGGATGCAGAACACAGGCACCTCCTCATACCCCCTCACTGGTTAGACGGGTCCTGCCTCTGTTCCCCTGATTCCCAAGACTGAAGGCTTCAGTCTCCCATGATGGCTGCTCTGTTCCCAGGTCTTTGGCCATGGCAAGGCCAATGGAGAGCCAACCTGGGCGCTGCTGCTGACTGCCTGCATCTGTGAGATTGGCATCCTCATCGCCTCCCTGGACGAGGTCGCCCCCATCCTTTCCATGTGCGTGCTAGGCCTGGGGCCCATCCTTTGGCCCCGTGAGCCTCTCTTCCTGGGTCCCTCCACCACCACCTTAACGGTCGCAGAAGCCCATCCTCTGTCATAGAGATTCAGCCTCACACACAGCAGGCTGTGCTGTGAGGTTTGGTTTGTTGGCATGACCTGACCCTCTCCTCTCCTCCTTGCCTCTTTCCTCCAAGTCCTGTTTTCTTCTCCAAGCCCCGGTTTCTCTGTCTTCACAGTGTCCTGCATCCGCCTCACCTGCGTCTTTTGCATTCCAGGTTCTTCCTCATGTGCTACATGTTTGTGAACTTGGCTTGTGCGGTGCAGACACTGCTGAGGACACCCAACTGGAGGCCACGCTTTCGCTATTACCACTGGTGGGTGCCCGTTTCCCCGTCCTTCCCACAGCCATTTCTCACCTCTCCTGAGCCCCACGTTAGATCTGAGGTCTGAGCAGTGTCTCCTCCTCTACAGACAGCTCAAGGAAGATCGAAGGGAGGGTCTTATGGTTACAAACAGTAATGTGACATGGCCAGAAACGGCCCAGTGACCACTCCTTTGGCCACAGTGCTCAACCTCTTACATGGTAGCATGGAGGTCAGAGTCAGCTGGACTCAAATTCATAGCCTGACTCTCCACTTCCTGCCAGCGAGAGCTTGGACTGATGATAGAGCCTCTTTGAACCTCAATTTCCTCATCTGGGAAATGGGCACAATAGCCATGCTCCCTCCTAGGTTTCTGGTGAGCTTGTTGGCAGGTGATGCAGAGAGGATTCTCTTCTGGAGGGGGCTAAGATCTCCTTACCGTGTTAGCCTGTGGCTTTTCTTCTGTGACAGGAAGAACTATGCTCACTCCACAGTGGGAAAGTTGAATTCACAGCAGGTGACTGACCCATGGTCACCCATAAGACTATGAGACAATGGTCTTTCTTTTTTTAAGACAGAGTTTCTCTGTGTAGCCCTGGCTGTCCCAGAACTCTCTCTATATATAGACCAGGTTGGCCTCAAACTCATGGAGATCTGCCTGCCTCTGCATCCAGAGTGCTGGGATTAAAGGTGTGCACCACCACTGCCTGGCAGGATAATGGACTTTCATGGAAGCCACATGATTTCGGCCTTAAGGCTCCTCCTCTTGCTGCTGGCCTCTTTCTGGAAGGTCCTGCTTCCAGTGTGTCCACAGACCTCTGTCTCAGAAACCATATGAACCCACATTCCTGGAGGGATCTGGCAGGGTCTAAGGGACAGAGCCTAGTGACTCTGGAGTCGGGTGGGACATGGATCAGTGTCTTGTGTATGGCTACTTGTTTATTTAGAAAGTCTGCACGGTGCTCAGGGTGACACCAGTGTGGCATTTAGATCTAGATGCCCATGTCTTGCCTAGGCCTTGCCTGCCACCCTGCTTTTGCTGCCCAAGCCCAGGTGTCACCATCAGCCCTGCAAAGGGCTCAGGGACTGGGTTCTCTTCATTTTCCAGGACTCTCTCCTTCCTGGGCATGAGCCTCTGCCTGGCCCTCATGTTCATTTGCTCCTGGTACTATGCACTGGTAGCCATGCTCATTGCCGGCCTCATCTATAAATACATCGAGTACCGGGGGTAAGTGCCGGGAGGAGGCCAGGGAAGCTGAGGGTGGGCAGGGCGAGGGCTGACTGAGTGACGGTCCAAGGCTGGAGTGCAAGGAGGGGACCCTATGGAGTAGGTTTAGAGAGGAGGCTGACGAAGCCTTGATGGACAGGCAAGAGAGCATCTAGATTTCGGAGTGATTTCAAAGGGACCAGCTACACAGCTACAGCTTGACTAAGTCAGAAGGAGAGCGACACGGGAGAGATGGCTGTGCCCTGGGACAACCAGATGTGTGGGATGTCTTCATCTACCACTCCTGGTTTCCTGGACTCATGTGACCCCCCTCCTGGTCCCCAGGGCGGAGAAGGAATGGGGCGATGGGATCCGAGGCCTGTCTCTCAGCGCTGCTCGCTACGCTCTCCTGCGCCTGGAGGAAGGACCTCCGCACACCAAGAACTGGAGGTGAGTGGTGAGGGTGGCTGGGGAGGATGGGGGGGGTGGCAGGGGAGCAGGGGTCCGATCTATCCCTCTGCCTCTGGCTGAGCGGTACCTCTCTCTAACCCCGTCTCGCCTGAGCCCCCTACAGCTCTATGATGAATTGAGTCCTGGATATTTGTTCATTTGAGCATTCCATTTTACTTGTGAAAAAAAAAATTCCCAAACTCATGTTGTACGGCCAACTCCCTTCCTAGCCCTGGGGGTACCTGCCCGTTCATAGATCTGTGGAAATCACACAGAGAAGCAGAGAGACAATACTTCTGAAGCCTGCTCTCTTACTTTGAGAGGGACAGGGTCTTGAGGAGTCTTCAAATTATTGACAGCATTTCTACCGAACATGAGGGGCCCCGGGGCTTCTAGACTCTTCCCCTTCTGCCCTTAGGTCAGGTACTTCCTTAGTGGCTACTGTACACACCCAGCTTGACATCTGTCCCCCTGGTTCCACCAAGGGTCAGGTTGGAAGTCAGAATTGTAGGCATATTACTAACCTGGGGCTCCCAGATACTGGGTTTGGCACTGTCTGTAGATTGTCACGCAGTCAGCGTAGGGTCCAGCCCAGAACTGGTACTTGGTGGATACTATGAAAGTGATGGGGAGTGGGAGGAATGCCAGGCTGAGTGTGTGAGGAAGTGACGGGGAAATGGCAGGGAGGATGGCTGGATAAGCATCTACACATATGGAAGTCTGTCTGGGTGAATAGATGGATGTGTGAATGGGTAGGGGTGGGTGGGTATGTGGGTGACTGAGTGAATAAGGCCTGGTAGGTAAATTCATCTGGATTCTGCTGGATGACTGAAGGGTGAAAAGGATGGGTGGGTGGCTGGATGGATGGATGAATGAGAGGGATGGAGCGATGGGTGGGTGGCTGGATGGATAGAGAGGGGTGGGCCTCCGCTGAAGGGTTTGCTGCTCAAGGAAATGGTTGCTGCGGCCCAGCAGTTTGCGGTGGATGGAGCCCAGGTGTGGGGGCCCAGGAGACAAACGGGTAAACAGATGTGACTCATGTGGTGGACGGGTGGGTGGGTGGGGGGTGGGAGGTGGGTCACGTGAACCTGCATCCTCTTCAGGCCCCAGCTGCTGGTGCTGGTGCGCGTGGACCAGGATCAGAACGTGGTGCACCCCCAGCTGCTCTCCTTGACCTCCCAGCTCAAGGCAGGGAAGGGTCTGACCATTGTGGGCTCTGTCCTGGAGGGCACCTTTCTGGACAACCACCCTCAGGCTCAGCGGGCAGAGGAGGTGAGCAGAGGCCGGGCAGGGTGGGCAGTTGGGGTCGAAAGTGTCGAAAGTTGGAAAGGCGGTCTTCACCTTACTGTACTTGCCTTTCGGTACAAAGGGATGTCAGGGCAGTCGGGAGCGTGTCTTCTCCTTAGAATGGGAGTCTGAGGGTCAGAGGGTGAGCGAGTGCCTGTCAATTCTACCCACAGGGGCTGGGGAGGTGGCTCAGAGGATGAAGCACTTGCTGTGAAAAGCAAGAGAACCTTTGTAAAAGCAGGCACTGGGATGCGGGTCTGTAGCTCTAGCGCTGAGGGTAGGGGTGGAGACAAGAGGATCCCTGGAGCTCACTGGACAGCAAGGCTAGCCAATCAGGGAGCTCCATGTTTAATGAGCACCTCAGAAAAAGTAAGATGGAGAGTGGCTTACGGAGATAGTTGATATTGACCTTTGACCTCCACATTCAACTTATAGAACCAAAGGCTGACAGAGCCAGAAGGGCCCATTTTATGGATAAGGACACTGAGGCTTAGAGTTCAGGTTACCCTGAGGCAGAAATTACTCTCTTCCTTCTGGAAGAGGAAATCTTTTAAATCTTTCAAGGTGTTTTAAAATCCAAGCAAAACAAAACAAAAACAAAAAAAAAACAACCAAACAAACAAACAAAAAATTAAACAAAACAAAAACAAATTCAAAGATCATCTAGGAGGAAGCCGGGGCCCAGCATGGGCTGGCAGGTTTCTGAAATCACAAGGCTGGCTGGAAGTCTAGCCAGGATTCGCACACGCCCCTGGCTCTGGGTCACCTGCTTTTGTCACATCCACAAAGGAGCATGCAGAGCCACTGTGAATGGGGCAGCCGGGTGGGCATGAACTGTATGAGAAGTGCCTGGAACCCAGAGGGTAGAGGAGGAAGTGGGTTCTACCTGCGACTCAGGCCTGTCTTCCCCCAGGGCTGCAGCTGGGAGTAGAGAGAGAAAAGGTGAGATGGGGGAGGGGCACCCCTAATGGCCTATGACAGTTGCTGTTTCCGCCTCACTGAGCCGCTCACACCAATCTATCAAGACTCAGAGCTGGAGGCCCCAGCTGGTCAGGAAAACGCTACGTGAACTGACAGAGAGCATGCTGGGTACCAGGCATTAGGCTAGGCATACAGAGAGCATGCTGGGTACCAGGCATTAGGCTAGGCACAGGGAGAGCGGGACCAAGTGCTAGCCATAGGCCACACACAGGAAGGTTCCAGCCCCATTTGGCACTGTTGAGTGCTCTTCTGGGTTAATAAGGACAGGGCAGTATGACACATTAGGGCTATGATACAGGGCAGTGTCCTGAGCCCTTTCATGAATCAAGCTGTGTGAGCCTCCTGATTCCTAAGTGGAACTGTCCCCCCCCCCCCCCCCCCCCCCCCCCCCCCCCCCCCCCCCCCCCCCCCCCCCCCCCCCCCCCCCCCCCCCCCCCCCCCCCCCCCCCCCCCCCCCCGGACGATAAGAGTAGAGGTTAGGTGACTTGCAGGAAGCCACAGCCAGGAGGTGGCAGAGATAGAATTAGTTAGACATCAGGTCAGTGGTTGAGGGCAGAGCGGCTGAAATGAGCCTCCTGGGTCCTGAATCGTCACTTACATTAGCAGCCTGTCCTTACGCGAGTCTTAATTTCTGAGCCTCGATTTCCTCATGGATAAAATGGGAACAGTGAGAACCCTTCCCCCACTGCAGATTAAAGGTGCACAGAAGATGCCCATCGTTTTTGTTAAAATACATCATTACATTGTGTGGCCGTGCAGAGCAGCCTGGCTGAACTGTGGTCTGGGTGGAGGGTGGTCTCTGGGAGGATGGCACTGGGGTCAAGGGAGGAGCACGTGGGATGGCAGTGGAGAGCGTGTCGAGCAAAGGACAACTCAGAGCAACAGCAGGGTGTGCGGAGGTGGGGTGGGACACTGGTGACAAGCAGAGACAGGAGCCATAGGTGATGAGGTGCTGGTGTGGGCCCTGGAGTCAGGTAAGATCACAGCTGAGGTTCAGGAAGATGGGATGGATGCAGAGAGAGGGAGGATGGACAAAAAGACTGGAGGGAGCCTGTGAGCCTCAGCCTCGGCCCAGGCTGTCTGAGGCTGGCCCTCATCTACACACGCCTTCCCCACAGTCTATCAGGCGCCTGATGGAGGCTGAGAAGGTGAAGGGCTTCTGCCAGGTGGTGATCTCCTCTAACCTGCGCGATGGAGTGTCCCACCTGATCCAGTCTGGGGGCCTCGGCGGGCTGCAACACAACACTGTGCTAGTAGGCTGGCCTCGCAACTGGCGGCAGAAGGAGGACCACCAGACATGGAGGAACTTCATCGGTACTGATGCGGTCGGCTTGTGGGCTGCTCTGCTTCTGAGGGTTCCTGAGTACAGCCTGGGTGTGGGCTCAGTATGTGCAGGTGGTACCACGTTAGCATCTATGTCAGGCCCTGGGAGGAAGATGGCGCAGGACAGGGTGGGGTGAGGGCGGCAGCCTTAGAGTCATGGTGGTCGGGATCTGCGTCTTGGCTCTGGTCTTTGACAGAGGTGTCCAGCCATCATTTAGAGAATGCATTTGTGTGCCAGGCAAGTTGAGACTTTTCTAATGCTCTCATGACTGAGCATTAGGAACTACTGTCTGCATGTTGGGGTGACACTGAGACATAGCGACAGTAAGGAGTTTGCCTGGGTCACCCAGCAGGGAGGTCGTGTTTAAAACAGCCAGAGGCTACCCATGCTGGGTTTAGTTGTCCTTTTTTTTAAGACAGGGTTTCTCTGTTTATCTCTGGTCATTCTGGAACTTACTCTGTAGACCAGGCTGGCCTCGAACTCACAGAGAGATCTGCCTTCCTCTGCCTCCCGAGTGCTGGGATTAAAGACATGGGCCACAACTGCTTGGCTTCCCATGGGTTCTTAATAATTAGTAGAGGCACAGGAAGGGGAGCGCGCCCAGCTGGTAAACTGCTGATCACAGAAGCATGCAGACCAGAGTTTGATCCTGAATCCAGAGGTGTCCAGTGTCGGGGAGGCAGAGACAGGAATTTCCTGGGATTCAGCTGCCTGCCAGTCTGGGAGCTCTAGCCCAGTCGGGTCAGGCAGAATCCCATCTCCAGCAAACAAAGACAAATGAAAAACCCCAACAAGGTGACGACTCTTGAGGAACAGGGAAGGATGCCCGAGGCTGATGTCTGCTTCCATCTACGTCAACACATGTGTGTTCACATGAACATGCAGCCCTCACATATATGCACACACGAGAGGAAAAAGAATAAGGGGCATCATTGCCATTTAACAGATGGGAGAACTGAGGCCAGGAAAGACTGGAGTACTTTCTTACAGCCGAATAGCCAGTAGACAATGAGGCCCAGGTAGATGCTGGAGGCCACAGCACTAGACTCTAAGGTCAAGATCAGGAGTGTGGTTGGAGCTGGTGCCAGGAGGCTTGGTGGCTTTCCCTCGGCACCAGGAGGATTGGTCACTGTTGCCCTCTGGTCCTTTTTTTTTGGCCTTTCCAAGAACTGGTCCGGGAAACCACAGCTGGCCACCTGGCTCTGCTGGTCACCAAGAATGTGTCCATGTTTCCTGGGAACCCTGAGCGCTTCTCCGAGGGCAGCATCGATGTGTGGTGGATCGTACACGATGGGGGCATGCTCATGTTATTGCCCTTCCTGCTGCGCCATCACAAGGTTGGTGTACATGCATGTCTGCGGTGTGGGGAGGGCGCGTGTGCCTGCAGGATGTCCGTAGGGAAGCTCGGGGCTCTGGCCAGCCTCCATGATTGCCCTTCCTGGGGGTTCTGATCATCTCCCTTATCAGGGGTGTTGGGGAACCGATGTGTCATCCCGACAAGCACACTGCTGCAAAGGAGGGACACTTAATACAGGGAGTGGCCCCTTAGTGGAGGCGCCCCAGACCTGAGCAGGGGAATCTGCAGATAGGGATTGGGTGCCAAGAGTCTGCAGGAGGGGTCTTTGGCCATGGGTCTTCTCACAGCTTCTGGCTGGACCTGGCTGGATTGCCTTTGATCCTTGCAGGTGTGGAGGAAATGTAAGATGCGGATCTTCACTGTGGCCCAGATGGACGACAACAGCATCCAGATGAAGAAAGATCTGACCACATTTCTGTATCACTTACGCATTACGGCAGAGGTGGAGGTGGTGGAGATGGTGAGTCCCCAGAAAAGCCTCAAGTTCTTCAAGTCCTGCCTGCCTGCGGCTCTTTCCTCTTGGCCCCAGCACCAATCAGGGCTCCTCCGATACCCATCAGTGGAGGACGCAGGTTGCCACCCCTTAGCCTCTTCTCTCACAGAGTGGCCGCCATGTTGGAGCGTGCTCACTCTGTGACAGACTGCTGTCGGGACTCTGCTGGCCTCCAGAGAGATACACGCGTTAGACCTTTTCATTCCCAACTAGGATGCCGAGACACACAAAGGTTCAGTAATTGACTGCACAGCACTGTGAGTGGCAGAGTCAGGGTTCAAACCCAGGCAGGCTGCTGCCGGGCCTGTTCCTGGAGGGTCTCCACTCCTCTCTCCACCTCCCCAGAGGATCCACGCCTCCTGCCGTGCTCGCTAACCTGCCTACATAGCCAGACACTTAGCGCCCCATTCACAGGCATGTGTCCGTTCATCCCTTGTTCTTTTCACAAACATCTTCCCTTCTTCATTCACTCAGGTGACTAATCAGGCCGCTCGCTCACGGCTTCACCATTCACATCTTTGGTTCTGCCCTGGGCGCACAGGGAACTAGCTGCCTGCTTTCCCAGGCCGTGGCCCCGTGAGCGCAGTCCCCCGCCTCCTCCAGCCTTGGTGCCAGGGCATGTGATGGGCAGGTGCAGACTGGTGGGAGGGAGGGCTCCCAGGTTCAAGCTCCCGCTTCCCTCCTGCTCACAGCATGAGAGCGACATCTCGGCATACACCTATGAGAAGACGCTGGTAATGGAGCAGCGCTCTCAGATCCTCAAGCAGATGCACCTAACCAAGAATGAGCGGGAGCGGGAGGTAAGGGTCCCCTGGTGGGGCTCTCAGACTGTGGGACTGTACAGGTTCTGGTCTGACATCCCCGGCCATCGGCACCACCATCTTCACCTTTAGTAACCCGTATCTGCCACCACCTCCTGAAACCCTGCTCCCCTGCACTCGGACGGACGTGTGTCTTGCTGTATCTTCCCAGCCCCCTCACAGGGACTTTGGCATCGAGACAGACTTGCTCCTCTGTAGGAGACTTCTAGGCCCGAGGGAGAAGAATGGATGCTAAATATGTGTGGATGACGAGTTCTCAGGGGTGTGGGCTGCCAGTGTGGGAGACAAGGTTCATGTAACAGACTCTCGGGGTGGGGAACAGATGGATATTTAACATGGATGCTGGGTAGGAGTCAGGGGCAAGCCTCCTAGGGGATGAGTGAGTGACGGGCTTTCGGGAGTGGTTGTGCTGAGCGCCCCATGGGGTAAGTTATCTTAGGTTTCAGTCACTGGTCTTTCGGAGTACGGATAAAAGAGCCACCCCAGGGAGTGGAGTCCCTGGGGGAAGTGAGGGATGGTGCCCAGGGCTCTGGACAGAGGAGCGCCTAGAGGTGGGCGTGAGCTTGTTTGGGGAATGAGTGGCAGGTCCTGTAGGCTAGGGGGAAGAGCTGTGATTATGGGTCTCCCAGGTGAGAGAATCTGATAGATGCTTAGGGAAGTGAGCGATGGGCCCTTGAAGGATGGGGGTGTCACCCAGGCTGACAGTGATAAGAAATGGCATGCGCTGGCGTGTGCTGCGCAGCCAGAGAGACTTGGGACCAGAGTGCTAGGCTCAAGCCTTGCTGTGCCAGGTGTTAGGCTGCTGGTTGTTGGTGGCAGGAAGGTCTGAGCTCTGGAGACCAGAGGCCAGGTCAGCGATGCCTAGGTGTTTGGTCTTGAGGCACGGTAGCATTTGCAGTGTGTGCCACTCGGGAATACTTGTAACCTGGATGAGCATCAATTGTAGTAATGGCTCTTGGTAGGGTGTGGGTGGTGACCCCCAGCAGAACTGGCATCAACCTTTGTCACTCCCTAGATCCAGAGCATCACAGATGAGTCTCGGGGCTCCATTCGGAGGAAGAATCCCGCTAACACTCGGCTCCGCCTCAATGTTCCCGACGAGACAGCTGGCGATAGTGAGGAGAAGCCAGAGGAGGAGGTGAGTGGCTGGGGTGGTTTGGCTCTGGCAAGTGGGAGCTGAGCCTTTGGCTGAACGATCCCCCTCCTTCAGGTGCAGCTGATCCATGACCAGAGTGCTCCCAGCTGCCCCAGCAGCTCGCCGTCTCCAGGGGAGGAGCCTGAGGGGGAGGGGGAAACAGACCCGGAGAAGGTGCATCTCACCTGGACCAAGGACAAATCAGTGGCAGAGAAGAATAAAGGCCCCAGTCCTGTCTCCTCCGAGGGCATCAAGGACTTCTTCAGCATGAAGCCGTACGGGCCTGGGGGCTGAAGCTGGGGGTGGGGGCCTAAAGGACTTGTCGAACACGGCAGAATCAATGAGCAGGAGGGTCCTCTTCTGGCAGTCTGACGATCCAGGGCAGAACTTGCCTTGGTTTCCTCAGTTGGAGACTTACAGAGCTGGGCTAGAATGTTAAGGGTCAGGACCAGCTCCTAAGTACAGGTGTTGAAATGGAGAAGGTGGGGGGGGCTGTAAGAGTGAGGTCATGCTCACCCAGGGCAGCCGCCTTTTCCTGACCCTCTCTTTTTCTTTCTCTCTTTGCTTCTCTTTTATGTTTCCTGAAGGGAGTGGGAAAACTTGTAAGTGCGCCACTATTTTTCCATCTTCTCTTCTAGGTCTCTAGGGTCCCTACTCCACGGAACCCTCAAGGGGTGTCCCTGGCCTCTGGGGCCTCTAAATGGCCCAACTTGGAGAGATCTGGGGTTGGGGGAGGTCCCAGACTGGCATGCACCAGACTGGGTAGCCCGACTCATTCTGGGAGGGTGACCAGACTTTGCTCTTCCTGGCCTAGGCTAATGCCCTTGCCTTCCTCTCCTTTCTTCTGCAGGAACCAGTCCAACGTGCGGCGCATGCACACGGCTGTGCGGCTGAACGAGGTCATCGTGAATAAATCCCGGGATGCCAAGCTAGTCTTGCTCAACATGCCCGGGCCTCCCCGCAACCGCAATGGTGATGAAAACTGTATCCTGAACTTAAGTTTGGGGGAAGAGGGGGGTTGTTGGCAAAGGGGGTTGTGTCCTCTAGCCTGGAATGAAAATAGCAGAGCGGGCTCAGCACTGGACAGGGACACGGGCTCTGGGAAGGCACAGGCTGTCTCCTTGACCAGCTCTCAGACATGGAATTTCTAGAGGTCCTCACTGAGCAACTGGACCGGGTGATGCTGGTCCGCGGTGGCGGCCGCGAGGTCATCACCATTTACTCCTGAGGGCCAGGACCTGTCACGCCGGCCCGAGCGCGCCCGGCCCGCGGCCCCGGAGCCCTCGCCGCGCCACCCCGCCGCTGTCACCGTTTACATAAGACCCTGTGCCCGTGTCCTGGCCCCTTTCCCCGCTGCCTGCACCCGTCGGGGCTGACTCTGAGGGCGGCCCATGGGCCCCTTTTCTGAGCCCGGCCTCGCCCCGCCGGAGCAGACGCTGCAATAAAGGTGGCGAGGCGGCGTGGAGAGGAGCGGAACCACGGTCCCGGGCCCGTCCCTCCCCACGCCCCGCCGCGTTCCCCCGGGACCCTGGTCGCCGAACCCGGGCGCCCGGCCGGCCGCGCTATACATAGTGTACAGGAGACATCGCGTGTATTTTTAATGTCCCCATATTTCTGTAACTAGAAGCGCAACGGACTCCTCGCCACGGCCGCGCTCTCCCGCTGCGGGCGCCCTGGGACGGAGAAGCCCCGGGAGCCAGATTTCCCTGCGCGCCGGAACTGAGAGCCAAGTGCTTTAAGGCCTGCGCTCTCTTCCTTCCCTGTCCACGCCCTGCGTCTCCCTCTCTTCCCTCCAGTTCTTGGCAAACACAGGTGAGATGGCGGCCGGCTTCGGTGGATGCGAGCTTTCTGGCGGCAAGGAGAGCGAGTCGTCGTCTCTCCAGCGGGAGAAAACGAGGCCGACGTCCACCGAGGAAGCCCCGCCCGGTGCCTTCGCGGAGGAGCAGGCGTCTCTCCTCTGTTGGCTTGCCGCCTGCTCCCCATGTCCCGTGGCTCCTCGCCAAAGACTGAATTCGTGGAGCTGGAGGGCACCCCCTCCCCAGTTTCCGCCTTGGGACAGGCGAGGGCCGAGGGGCCAATTCCAGTCTAGAGGCCGACTCACCAGGAGGCCTGGGCAGCCTCTGCTGTTCCCTTCCTTGGTCCCCATCTGCAGGTCCTGCCTGGGGACCCAGCTGCCTCTTGAGTGCTCTGGAGCTGGGCCTTGCTGCCTAGCAGCAGGTCCTTAGCTAAGTCTCCTAGACACCAAGTCCTGGAGTAGGGCTGGAGTCACATGGGCTCCGTTGTTCCTTGCGCTTCTCTGCCCTCTTCTGACTTGGACCCAAGGCCTTTGGCTTCCCTAGCGCTTCCGCAACACCAGCCCCACTTGTGGGGAGGTGCCCTCAGCCCTTAGAAAGGCATTTGGCCCGGTTCCCTTCCCCTAGGGCACGTTACTAAGGGGATAGGCACTGCATGCTCCTTTAAGCGCCCTCTGGGACTGGGTACAGTGCCTCCAGCCCCAGGGCCCTGACCTGCGCACCTAGTTAGACATCCTGCCCACTCCAGGGCCGGGGCCACTAGCTGACCTCACCACCTCCTTTCCCTTGAGCCCAAAGCAGAGAGCTGCAGCTGGTGCCGTCCAGACAAGGTCAGGTGTGGCCAGCGGCGGGGCTGGGGGTTTGCTGCTCGGCTGCACGGCCTAAGACCCCTCTGAGATTTGATGGGGGACTGGATATTCTTCCAGCCAGTAGCCATTCAGTTGGAAGTGTAGGACCCAGGATCTGTCATCCTTCAAGACTGCTCTCCCTTGCTATGGGTCTTGCCTTTTGGGGCAAGAGAGGGGCTGCGCAGAAGGGGAGGAGGCTGTATCAACACCAATTAGGGAACCAAAGTTGCACACTACCTGGGCCCAGACTCTCCGGTTGGCAAAGGCAAAGTTTCCATTGATGAAAACAAACATCTCACATCAAAAACCCAAGTTTTCTGTGCTCCATGTGCAATATTTGTTATGAACCTTGTGTCGTTCAAGTCACCTTTAAATCACTGTAGCTAGATGTTCCATGTCCATCCAGGTGACTTTCACTGAGTGCAATATTTCAATAGCCTGGTAGTGAGAACGAGTGTCGCTTTTCTTTCAGCCGACCTATGTGCAGGGCAATGCAATGCAGTCCAAAACCCTTGTAAATAGGAGAGGTTGCAAGCCAAATCAAGAGTATTTATCGTTATTACTATTATTATTAGGCCTGCCTTTAATTTTAGTGTTATGGTATTTCGCATCCTGCCTCGGTATTGATCTTGTGTTCTTTGTGCCAATATGCAAAGGAGAGGGTCGGTTCTTTCCTTTACTGTTGAATGCTCCCATTTAATGCTTTAAGGCTTTTACTGTGTTAATTTTTTAGATACCTGTCTGCACACAATGCAATAAAAATAATTTTATTACACCCTTGATAGCCTAAGGGGTACCGTTTGGACACTTTAGGATGAAATCAAATCCACTGTCAACAGATGTTGTTTTTTGAGACATGGTCTCATGGAACCCAGGCTGGCTAGGAACTTTGCCAGTAGCCAAGAATGACTTTGAACTTCCAATACCCTTGCCTCCTTCTCCAAAGTGCTGGGGATTTTATGTGTGGGCCACCATATCCAGTTAGAACAGGACTCTTGGGTGGGAAACACTGCCCTCTCTGCTCACAGAAGAGAGTACACCAGCTTCGGGGCCCTGTGCCTGGGCCGGGACATGCCTCCTAGGTACCAGGTCACGCGGCATCCTCTGGAAGGCAGTGAGTCTCTAGAAGCTGGGACGTCATGCGAAGTCTTATAAGGGCTCTTCAAGGCTTTCAGGTTGACTAGAGATTATGCCAAACTCCTGCATGATAGGAAGCAACAGAGATGAAGGCAAAAGAGGAATGTCTCTGCCTCCAACCATTATCCACAAAGGCTCCTCGCTGCATTCTGGACACACCTGCTGATAGTCTGGCTGTCTCTACTAGAAGCAGGTGCAGAGTATGGCAGGTTTTGAAGCACGGCCTTTGCTCTGTCCATCACTAGCCCTTCTCACCAGGTGGAAAGTGCAGCACACTGAGGCTCAAGTTGGGTGCAGAGATCCTAAGGCCTCATCTTGGGGGAGTGCTCTGCAAAGAAGCGCTGCAGATATACCCAAGAAAGGTGAGCACAGGTCTGACTTTCTTATTTTAATTAAAAAGTAATTATTTCATTTTATCAACAACACAAGAGTTCCAAAGAGGGGGAAAAAAACCCACCATATAACACAAACAGATCAGAACATAAACTGCTGCCATTGGGGAACCTTGGGTTTTGAAACCGGTTTGCTCAACCCTGGCAGGGACTCAACTGGAGCTCCCACTCTTGACTGAGGGCGATCAGGCCCTCCTCTCCACAGATCTGATCCACAGGGTTCTTATGAGCAGTCTTTCCCAAAGGCAGAGGTGTTTTCCTTCGGCTCCATTCAGGGTGGCAGCCATAGCCCTCCAAGTGCCACTGACTCCAAAGTTACGAATGCTGTCTGAGAATATATCCAGCGTCCACAGTCTAACATCAAATGGTCCCTACCTCCTGCTCATCAGAAAAGAGAACAAGAGCCTGGATGCAAAAAAAAGTCTGGGGCTCAAAATAAACCACTGAAAACATGGGTGTCCATTGTCAGTCTGGAGATGCCCTCTCAGTGCTAACGCTGTGGAGAGCGAGCAGCGGGCCCCAGAGTCACAATTCGTGTCAAAGTCCTGAGTGAGGCGCTTAGTCATTTGCAGACCCTCCGAGAAAATGGGAAACTACAAAACCAAGCCAACACCCAAGGGACCATTCTGCCGCAGACAGAGTCTTCTCTTCTGTGGCTGCCATGCCACGCTTCCCCAGTTCAGAGTAGCCAATCTGTATCCTTGAGCTGGAGTTCCATTCTCTGATGGGACGTGATGACATTGCCTGCCTGATGTGTGGAGGTGACCACTGACTCCACAAATATGCTCCAAACTGGGGCAGCCGGGATTTGGTTTCTTCCTTTTTTCCTCCAAATCTACCAGGCAAGGGCCAGAGCAACCCCATTAGACAGAAGCTGAGCCTAGACCCCAGGAATACTTATTTTCAACCCAAATAAAAGCTCCAGCCCCAAAGCAGTCTGAGTTCTGGTTCTGTGAAGTGGTAAGCAACAGCCGCAAGAAGGAGTGGTGTGAGAAACCTAGGAATCTGATGTTGACCCAGAGAGTGCGAAGAACACTTTCAAACACCTCTACTTAGGATGAAGTGGGAGGGGCCAGGGGAAAAGGGGACCAGGGACAGTGGACTGGTAGAGCCTCAGTAATGCCTCTGGTAAGAGCCCATGGGGGCCTGGGGTCGCCCCACCTGTGCTGCAGTTTGGCTAACCAGGTGGGAAAGGGCAGGGCCACTCTGGATCAGGGTGTCCAGAGCCTTCTGTACACTTGGATTGTCAAAGTTAATACCTGTGGAAGATACAGGCCTCTGGCTAGCTATGCTGCTGGCAGGTGCCAGGCGACTGGAAGGCTGACCAAAGAGTGCTTGGGAAGGAGCCCCAGGCCTGGGGCCCATGTTCCGAGTAGACCCTGCCTGTCCCACAATGTTTGGAGGCTGATTTCCTGAGGCCTGTGGTCTTTGCTGAGGCTGGCTGTTTGTTGCTGTGGAAAAATTCTGGTTCTGGGAGCTTCCGGCAGCAACTGAGGGGGATGCAGAGCTGCTGTTGGCCGCAACTGTGCCACTATTGAAGAGGCTGAGGATTTTGGCCTGAAGCTCTTGCTGGGAGGTGGGGGTTGCGGCTGGAGTGGGTGTAGCAGAGGGGAGCACTTGGCCGCTCTGAAGCGGTTGGGAACTTGCTTGTGTCTTCAGCGAGGCACCCGAGGCCTCCCTGAGTGGCTGGCGGGTAATCGGGCCTAGAAGACAGAAGAGGGAGGCATCTGGTTGAGAGTGCCCCCTAAGGGCAGGAGGCCCAGCAGCCACAGGAAGAACAGCAGTCATACATCACAACAATCATACAGTACAGACAAAAGCATCAAATTCCAAAAGGGCTATCTCAGGATATGGACTACTTCACAGAAAGCAGCCTAGTGCCCAAGAAAATTGCTTGAAAGAAGGAATAAATAAATAAACAAGGGGCATCCATCGTGGCTCTCAGGGAGCCAACAACACTAGTTTACCCCCTACTAGCCCAATACAGGAAGCAGAGCTCAGCAGTGAATCGAGATCATCATTAACAGCATCATCAGCGTGCATGGCTTGTGGGGGAAGCCAATGGATGGCTCATTTCCCTTACCCACCCCAGAGAACCCTGGG